ATAAAAATCTTTCTCCTTTGTTTTTTGCATTTACTTCACATATATCTTCTGTGGAAATACCAAAGAGTGTACAGGAGGCTTTACAGGTTCCTGAGTGGAGAAAGGCTATTTCTGAAGAGATGAGTGCTCTTGAGAAAAATCACACGTGGGAGGTGATGGATTTGCCGAGAGGGAACACAGCATGGCGTGCAATTGGGTGTTTACCATCAAGTATAACTCAAATGGATCCCTCAAAAGGTATAAGGCACGGTTGGTGGCTAAAGGTTTTACTCAAACCTACGGCATCGATTATCTTGAGACCTTCGCTCCAGTAGCAAAGTTAAATACCGTAAGGGTACTCCTTTCAATTGCAGCAAACCTCGATTGGCGGCTTCAACAATTAGATGTGAAGAATGCGTTTCTAAATGGAGAGTTGGAGGAGGAAGTGTATATGGATCCACCACCGGGATTTGACAAACACTTTGGATCCAAGGTATGTTAGCTAAAGAAATCACTTTACGGGCTCAAGCAATCTCCAAGAGCTTGGTTCGAACGATTCACTCGATCTATAAAGAATCAAGGCTATGTTCAAGCTCACAGTGATCACACTATGTTCATGAAGGACTCCAATGATGGAAAGATCGCAGTTTTGATAGTATATGTGGACGATATTATTCTTACTAGGGATGATGTTACTGAAATGAATCAGCTAAAGGAAAGACTGGCTTCAGAGTTCGAGATTAAAGACTTGGGATCTCTAAGATACTTCCTTGGAATGGAAGTGGCTCGTTCAAAAAAGTGTATTGTTGTCTCGCAGAGAAAATACATTCTTGATCTTCTCAAAGAAACCGGAATGAGGGGGTGTAGACCGGCTGATACTCCAATGGATCCTAATTAGAAGCTGGGAGATACTAAGGATGGAAATCCTGTAGATACAACTCGGTACCAGAAGTTGGTAGGAAAATTTATTTATTTATCCCACACCCGACTGGACATTGCATTCGCAGTTAGTATGGTAAGTCAGTTTATGCACTCACCATATGAAGAACACCTTGAGGCAGTATACCGAATTCTGAGATATTTAAAAAGTACTCCAGGGAAAGGACTTTTCTTCAAGAAGAATGAGCAGATGACGATTGAAGCATACACAGATGCAGACTGGGCAGGCTCAGTTACAGACAGAAGATCTACATCAGGGTACTGTACTTATGTATGGGGAAATCTAGTCACTTGGAGAAGCAAGAAACAGAACGTGGTAGCACGAAGTAGCACAGAGGCTGAGTACCGGGCAATGGCTCAAGGAGTATGTGAGATGTTGTGGTTAAAAAAGATCCTTGAAGAATTAAAACGACCGATGGAGATGCTTATGAAACTATACTGTGACAACAAGGCTGCTATTAGTATTGCCCATAGCCCGGTGCAGCATGATAGAACAAAACACGTTGAGATCGACATGCACTTCATAAAAGAGAAGATAGAAGCAGGAGCTATTTTGTCTGCCGTTTGTTCCAACATCACAACAAATAGCTGATTTTCTTACTAAGGGATTGTTCAGAACCAACTATGAATTTCTTATGACCAAGCTGGGCATGATAGATATCTATGCACTAGCTTGAGGGGGAGTGTCGAATTAGAGAAATTAAAATTAGGATAACTTCTAGTTATTGTTATCCAGTTAGGATTAGTTGTTTTTTAAATAAGGAGATATCCTAAATCTCCATAATAGCTAGTACTTATCTCTTCAGTTAGGATTTATCTATTACTAGAATTATGGGATTAAGTGGCAGGAGTATTGTCATGCTTATCTATAAATACTAGTAGTCTTTTACCAGACGAATAATAAGAAAGAATATTTTTTTCCCTCTCTAAAAACTACAGGTTTCATTTGGCGTCAAAGTAACTGTGACATTGGGTGTTTTGTCCAACGTAACGTTGCTCAATGCGTTAGAGCTAAAGGTCAAATCTCAAAACACATGCTTTTATATGCCTATGTCCATTCTAGAGAGCATTTGGGAAGACAACTACGGATTTTGTGCTTGGATTTCCAAGAATGGAGTAGGGCATTGATTCGGTTTTTGTGGTAATACATTGGTTTTCCAAGATTGTTCGCTTTACCCTTGTAAGAAGTCGTCCAATGCTTAGTCATTTTTGGAGGACCTTTGGAAGAAATTTGATACTTCTTTGAGCTACAATAGCACTAGCCATCCTCAAACGAGGACTGAAGTTGCTAATCATATCCTTGGAAAATATGATTCATTGTGTGTGTAAGGATAAGTCTAGACAGTGGTAAAGAGCCCCAAAGCGTGCTGTTGACTTGATTCGGTTGCTTATTCCATTGACCTTTATCTCATGGCTATTGAGTTCAATGAGCAAATTCATAGGGTGCATAATGAGGTTCACAAAAGATGCCAATTCAAAGTATAAGGTTGTTGCTGACCAACATAGGAGGTAAAAATTATTTACTGTGGCAATATAGTTAGGGTGCACTCGCGAAAGAACCGGTCACCTATTGGTACTTATAATAAGCTCAAAGACAAAAAGATTGGTCCTTTTTGCATCCTGAAGAAGATTGGTCATAATACTTACAAGCGTGATCTTCCTACTGGTTTGAAGATTTCTCCAACCTTTACTGTTGCTGATCTTTTTGAGTATTTCTGACTCGATGAATTCTCTTTGCAACTAGCAACTCGGGTACGAGTTCTATTCAGTGGAGGGGATTGATGTATGACACTAGCAATAGCCAACAATTTCCTATTTTAGATTTCCTACTCTATTTTGGAGTTTCCTAATTTTTTGTTCCCTATTTAGTTAGGTTTTTTTCTCTTCTTTTTCTTTTTTTTAGGAGTCTCATATTTGATTTTGTTTCCTATTCTTAGCCTTAAAAGCCTATAAAAATGAGTATAATCAAATTATTTTGATCACCTCTGCTCTCATCAATAATAATTTAGACTAATTTGAGTTGTACCAATTATTCTTTGTATTTTTGTTTATTCTTCGTTTCATTTCAAAATATACACTTCTGTTGTGCCAGTTGTCTGTCGGTTTTTTAGTAATGTGTAAATTGGTGCAATCGTCTTAGTTTCAACTTTGTATTTCCTACCTTATCGTTATTGCCCTGTATCAGTTTATTTTATTTTAAATATGATTATTATTGTTAATTAGAAACAGAGACATGTACCATAAAAAGCCTTGTGAAGGATAACATTAAAGAAGAAGAAGATACTTCGTACCCATGTTGGAGAATGTTGAGATGTTTTCAGATTTGTTGATAGATCCAAATCGATTGACATAGTTATTGTGCCTTCTTTGTTCTTCGCAGGCATCCTTTCATCCTTTATTTGTATTTCTGCCATTTATCGAAACAAAAGCGTTACCTTGTCTTTTGTGTTATGTTCTCAAGATCAGCCTGATAGTAGCCACGTCAATCTCAATTTTTGAGGTCGGGAGTCCGAATAACTAATTAGTATTCCTGCATATTTTAGTTTCGTTTTCAGGATACAGTTTCTTCCGGTTCCCAGATTATACTTACTAGTTTATGCTTTATTTTTGAAGCAAGTGAAGAAAATTATTAGAATGTTAAACAAGTTGAGAAAAGGTTCTGAAATAAAAAAGCTCAATGCTAACAGTGTATACCATAAGTGATGTCTATGCATTAAATTTTTGTAATGTACTGCATGCTGCATTGGTGTTTCAGGAATTAATATTTTGTTGGAAAGATGTATAATGAAAATGTATTAAAGATGTGAAAGAGTTATTAATTACACTATTGGCTTTTATTATGATATGTAGAAGAATAATACATCAGGTGGGTGGTTATATTGGTAAAGGTAGATGGAAAGGTTTAAGTTTGGAATCTTTCTGTGTCTTAAAGTTACATATTTGTACTACTTTTGAAAGGGGCAAGGTTCTTGCTTTCATTTCTTGTGGGCGTGGGGGCCTCGCTCCGATACTTTCGTAGGGGAGCAGCCTCGTCATGTCCTATCTGGTGTCTCGTTGCATCTCATGGCTGGGCACACTTGCTCGACAAAAGTTTCTGGAGAAGCTTTAAATTGTTAGTTCTTTCATTTAATAAGAAACTTTATAAGTTTATATGTATATTTATATATATTATTTTATCTTGGTTGTTCTGATTAGGGTATTTTGGGCATTTAGGAAAAATTCCCAGGTGTCAATTAACAAAAACATGGTAGAGGAGAAGTTTTAATACGGTTTGTAAAACGTTGGTGAATAGATGCAACATTCCTGATGAAAACATAAAAGATGGAACTTACGTTTGGCCAAAATCAGTTTTTGTAATTTCTAAGCTCTAATCATATGTGTGTGTATTCATATATAGCTTAAGTTCTTGTTTGCCTATACTTCTGATCACAAATCTGTTTTTGTAATTTCTAAACTTTAATCATGTTCTTATGATGCTTTTCTTTTTCATGTGGGTATATGATTCTAATCTAATACTCAAACTTAGCTTAGTACTACATTTGATTTGTACGTGTTTGATTTCATTATATTGGTATCCTAAACTATTATGTGCGATTTGATTAGGGATGTTAACAAAGTATTTCTTTTATCTAAATACCAAGTAATAAGAAAAAGCTGGGCTCCACTATTGTAACATATTTTGCGTTTTGTGCAGTGAGGATACGTCTTCCTCTTGTAGGTTGTACATAATTTATGATTATTGAAACACAATGCCCTTTTCAAAAAGTAATGCATAAGAGCTGTAAAATGTCATCTGCCTGAAAAATTTTTGGAAACTAGATGAGCTCTTTTAAAAAGGTAGGTTTCAAGCATTTTGAAATGCAAAATTCAATGCTGTGTAATCACATGTTTTACAAAAAGGTTTACATTGAAAATCTATTAGTCAATTCTTTTTTTTTTTTGTTTTTTTTTTGTTTTCCCTTTATTTCCCCCCATTGTTTAGATAGAGATATCTTTCATACTGTTTTTCATTTTTTTGTTTGTTTTTTTTTTGGTTTTTTTTTTTGGTTGCATTATGTGTATTTCTTTAATCATCTCACTAGCACTGTCTAAATGGTGCGTTTCTCATCGAAAGAGAGCTAAGCAGATAGTTGAAACATGGGAAAAATGCTTCAACTCTTCCCAGAGAGAGAAGCGCATTTCTTTGCTATACTTGGCCAATGATATCTTACAAAATAGTAGAAGAAAGGGAAGTGAGTTTGTGAATGAATTCTGGAAGGTTCTTCCAGCAGCTCTCAAGCATGTTTATGAAAATGGTGATGAACACGGAAAAAAAGTGGCAACCAGACTGGTAAGTCCTTTGTTATTATGAACATTGTCCTCTTGACTCGTGTTCTTATTCTTTAGAAATTTGGAATTATTGAACTTAGAAGTTTACGTATGGTTCAATACAGTTGCATGTCATTTTAGGCGAAAACTCTTCCTTTTCTTATAATTATTTAATTTTACCTTTTGATAATCAATATATAGTTTATTTTCTTAAAAAAAAAAAAAATACAGTAGCATCATATAATGTGGAAATCAAGAACAAGTTAGTATCCTTGAAAGGAACACCACGAAATTTAAAATATGATGTAACATATTTCAGATTTCTATCAGTCTGAAACGCATTTGGTAGTGGTGCCGAAAATATTTGAGATCCTGTAAAGGAGAGAACTCTTCCAATCAGTTCCTAGTTTTGAAGACCTTCGACATAAAGCCACATAATCTCATCTCTGGTGATATGTCCAACAAGTGGCCATAGTCAAGTAGAGAAAGTTGGTTCAGTGTCTGTCTATGTAAATGTCTCTAACAGCTTAGCTGCATGAAAACTGCGTTGTTTTCTTTGTGCTTGAAACTGAAAATAGTCTTGTTTACTTCATCTAGGAGGGAGGTTTTTATTGTTTATTTTACTTTTCCCTGACATATCTTATTTTGGTTTTGGGTTGGCATTCTGTGGGTTGTCCAGGTTGACATTTGGGAAGAAAGAAAGGTTTTTGGTTCCAGAGGGCAGAGTCTTAAAGATGAAATGCTGGCTAAAAATCCTCCTGCTCTGTCTGCCCTCCAAGTTGTAAAGAGCTCAAATCCTATCAAAATAGTGAAGAGGGATGCACACTCTTTAAGAATTGTACGTAATTTTCTGTTTTGTACTTGATATTTTTATACGTTTCTAGGTATATTTTTGTTTGTGGTGTTGGGCCTCATGTTTTACATGTCATTTTAACCTTAGAAATTGGCTGTTGGAGGTCCTCCAGAAAAAATAATTACTGCATTTCAGTCTGTCCTTGATGAATATCACAATGAGGAAGCTGCTTTAAATAAGTGTAGCACAGCTCTACAAAATGTGAGAAAAATTGAAGATGTTGAAAACACGTCGATTCAAGGTAAGGTCTTACATTCGAGTTAATGATTTCTACATGCAACATTTTCAAGAAAATGTAGTGCAAATTTAAAAAGTTTGTACAGCATATTCGTTCCCTTACTACCTTTACTCATCAATTGCATTATTAGGATATGCAGTCTACTAATATATTAACTACAACGTATACATGCTTTAGATTCAGTGTTTTTATTGTCTTTCTAATCTAATTTTGGATCAATGGCTCTGATATCTAATTACTAGAAATGGCAATTTTTATGCCTAAGGTCTGTGGTTTCTAAATTAAATTACTTTCTCATGCGAATTGGTATTTATTTATTTATTTATTATTATTATTATTTTTTTATATTTGGATAAGAAACGAAGCTTTTATTAAATAGCAACGAACATGAAATATACAAGTTACAACAGGGGACAAGGAGTCCACCAAAAACCATGAAAACATGGAACAAAACCAACGGCGGCCTACATATACGGTAATCATGAAAACCCCTTAAAGATTCGATTGTAACATCCCAGCCTGGTAACAAATCTGAAAAATGAAAACCCAGTAGTCTTTAATTTGTGAAATCCATAATGCTAGCCAGTATATAATTCTCTCTCAAACGTCATTGCTATTTCCTTGTGCGTCCTTAAAGATTCGATTGTTGCTTAAAGCCACAAAGCACATGTAACAGTAAGGGCAACTACATTTCACAGCCTCCTTACAATAAATTCCTCCCAAACAGAGTCACTGCCAAAAGGCTCCACAATTTTATTAGGGACAACCTAAACCAAAAAAAAAAACAAATTAGGGACAACCGAAACAATCCCAAACTCCCCCAACACGTGATGCCAAATACTCAATGAGAAAGCACAGTGGAGGAAAAGATGATCCACCGTGTCATTTGCATTTCTATAGAGGACACACCATCTAGGAGAAAGATGAAGACACACCATCTAGGAGAAAGATGAAGATTTGGCTATCTCCTTTGCAATGAGTGTTTACTTGACACAAGCAGCCTTTAAAAAATTTGAACTTTAGCAAGAACCGAGACTTTCTATATAAAATGACAAAAGCTAGAAGTAGGAAAGGATTGGTCATCAATCAGCAGTTTAAAGAAAATTTGCAGCAGAATATTTCTGATCCCTCAAGTTCCTGCAGCCATCTATCAAGGATAAACTCACTCAATCTCACCCGGCCCCTCTAAACAGTACAATAACTCCGCAACCTCTCCTAACTCTCTCTCGCTGGGCTTCCTCCTAAACTGAAAATTCCAAGAAACACTACTCTTGGAACCATAAATGTAAAATGAAAAAAACTGATGAATTGTGAAGGGACAAATTTCTGTGAAAACTTGGAAATCGATTAGAAAATGATTCTCCCAACCACACATCTTCCTAGAATCTAAACCCCGTCCCATCCCCCAGTGTCAGTTTAAGACGAGCTTTAAATTCATTCTTCAAAGCTTGAATGGCCTTCCAAGGACTTCTAAAAGTTACTCTAGCTCGTGTTTCCGATTCCAACCTCTAAAACACGAACCATATTTACCTTTTATCACTCAGCACTACAGCGAATTACCATCCCTTGGGAATCTCCAAAGCCATTTTGACATTAGAGCTTTAGAAATACCACAGTGAAACTACCCTCCCTTGAGAATCTCCAAAGCCGTTTTGAGAGAAGAGCTTAGATATACCAATGAATTACCCTCCCACGAGAATCTCCAGGAGTTACAACGGCGATAGATAAGTTGATGAGAGACTTTTTTTGGGGAGGTTGTGAGGAAACAAATTCAGATAACCTTGTGGCATGAGCTGAGATTTGTAAAACCCAAGGAGAAAGGCGGCTTGGAGATTGGCAATCTGGCTCTTCACAATAAAAGTTTGTATGATTTGAAAATTGGGAGGCTGCCTTTTCTGCCTGGCTTGGGTTGAGTATTTCTAGAATTATTCTTGTCTTCTAGGCACTATACAATGGACAACTTTTTTCTTTTTTAGTGATCGTGAACGTGAGCAATATGGATATTTGTTGTTGCAAGATATTCATCCGAATTAGAGGAGATTGTGCCAAAAATAGAGTTATTAGGATTGATTATGATTTGATTTAGTTTCCTAGAATAGCTATGTGTATAGTTGTTAATCAGCTATTTATTTCCTAGGATAGTTTCCTTAAATAGTTCCTTGTATAGCTATTTATTTGTACAATTGTATTCTGATCATACATATCAATAATATACGTTATTCACTCATATGGTATTAGAGCAAGGAATTCTTTTGATTCCTGGAAACCCTAGTCTATTCTACTCTTTTCTTACCCGCAGAAAACCTAGCCGTTCCCCCATTTTCCTTCTACCCAAAACCAGTTCTGTTTTTTCACCATGTTAGACGTTATTTTTGAGTCTACAAGCGCCCTAGAACAACCTTAGAATGCTCCTACAAGCCTATCAACACCCGCTGCTACTACAACCCAGGCCCCCACCTCGGAATCTCACTCCATTCAGATCACTACCATTAAACTGAATGGAGAAAATTTTTTGCGCTGGTCTCAATCTGTGCGCATGTACATCTGTGGTAGGGGCAAGATCGGATATTTGACCGGAGAGAAGGAGCCTGCGGCTGATGATGCAACTTATCCAACGTGGGATGCTGAGAACTCGATGGTGATGACTTGGTTGGTGAACTCTATGGAGGAGGACATAAGCTCCAACTATATGTGCTATCACACGGCAAAGGAGCTTTGGGACAACGTCAATCAAATGTACTCGGACTCTGGAAATCAATCTCAAGTGTATGAGTTAACCTTGAAACTCGGAGAAATCCGCTAAGGTGAGGATAGTGTCACTAAGTATTTTAATTCTTTGAAATGCCTTTGGCAGGATTTAGACCTATTTAATGGTTATGAGCGGAAATCCCCAGATGATCGTAACCATTATAAGAAAACGGTGGAGGATAACTGTATTTTCAAATTTCTTATTGGTCTTAACGTGGAGTTTGATGAGGTTAGAGGGGGGATTATTGGTAGGCAGCATCTTCCTTCTACTGGAGAAGTGTTTTCTGAGTTTCGCCGTGAGGAGAGTTGCCATCTTGTCATGCTTGGCAAAAAGAGTCTCGGCAACACCGTTGAAAACTCGGCTCTTGCTGTTGGTATTAATGCTGGAATCACTGCCAAGAAACCTGATGAAAAACCTCGCGTTTGGTGTGATCATTGCAATAAACCACACCATACACGTGAGACCTGCTGGAAGATTCACTAAAAACCAGCAAATTGGAAGGGCTCGTGAAGGTTGATTCACTTGTACTCCTACTGCACATGAGGCCGAATCTGTTTCCTTTAAGAAAGAGCAGATGGATCACCGCCTAAAGCTGCTGAAATCCAACTCCGGATTGTTAAGTACTCCTAATGCTTCCGTTGCTCAAGCAGGTAGTAAATTAAATGCCTTATCTTGTCATTTCCCTATTTATTCTACTCCTTGGATTATAGATTCAGGAGCCTCTGATCATATGAAAGCTTTTCTCATTTATTTCATACTTACAATCCTTGTTTTGGTCATGAAAAAATTCGTATAGCAGATGGTTCATCCCCCATAGTCGGCAAAGGTTTGATAAATCTATCTAAAACCATTTCTCTCAAAAATGTTCTCCATGTTCCTAAACTTGTAATCTGCTATTAGTTAGCAAACTATCTAGAGATTCTAACTGTCGTGTCACCTTTTTTGAATCTTATTGTGTCTTTTAGGAACCGAGCTCGAGGAAGATGATTGGCAGTGCTAAATTGATGAATGGCCTCTACTATTTTGAAGATGAATGCCGTGTTTGGAATTGTTCTTGTTTTTGTTTTCACGTTTTTCGAGAAAGAAAAAATGAAAACGATTTCAAAACTGCGTTTGACACAATTAAAGACAAAAAACGGAAATGAAAACGATTTTTTAGTTTAGTGTAAAATGGGAGAGAAATGAAAAACGACTTTTAGTCATTTTTCATTTTTTGTTTTCGTTTTCTCCTCTCTCGAGCACACAGAGAGAGAGAGAGAGAGAGAGAGAGAGACATTAATGTGTTTTTTTTTACTGAAAACAATCTCTTGATAAAACTACCAAACGCATTTTCAAAAATGATTTATGTCTGAGATTGAAAACGTTTTCATTTGCATTTTCATACAAAAAACAAAATCATTTTGGAATGAGTTCCAAATGCATCCGAAGATTCTAAGAATAAAGGAGCTCAAGGCTTCAGTAGTATTAGTTCTACTCCAGTTAAGGATCAAATTATGCTTTGGCACTATAGACTAGGGCATCCTAGTTTTCCTTATCTTAAAAAACTATTTCGTACTTTATTTAAAGGTTTGGACTGTTCTAAATTTCATTGTGAAAGCTGCATTTTATCAAAAAGTCATAGAACTATATATCCTTCAAGGCCTTATCAAGCCTTGAAGCCTTTTTATTTAATCCATCGTGATGTTTGGGGTCCTTCAAGGGTCAGTACTTCGGGAAAAAAATGGTTTGACTTTTATCGACGATCATACTCGTTTATGCTAGGTTTATTTAATGAAAGAAAAATCAGAGGTTGAGAACTTATTTAAAATTTTTTACTCGATGATTGAAAACCTTTTTCAAACTAAAATTGGGATTCTTCATACAGATAATGGAACTGAATATTTTAAGGAAGTTCTCGAAAGATTTTTTTTTGCAGAAAAAGGTATTCATCATCAAACTACTTGTGTTGATACACCTAAAAAAAAGGTATTGCTGAGCGTAAAAATAAACATTTACTTGAAGTTTCTCGTGCTAGTTTGTTTTCTATGAATGCTCCTAAATATCTTTGGGGCAAAGCTGTTTCAACTGCATCCTATCTAATTAACAGGATGCCCACTTGTGTTCTAAACTACATTACACCCCTTGAATGTTTAAAAAAATATTTTCCTAAATCACGTATTCAATCTAATCGCCCTCTGAAAATATTTGGATGCACGATTTATGTCCATATACCTAGTAAAGGCCGATCTAAACTTGATCCAAGGGCCGAAAAATG